AGAACAAGTGTTCGTCCTGGTCTTAAGCCAATGAGCTGGTCGCCTTGCCCGTGGTTGTCTTTTTCCACTGCCGAAGCTTCGCCGCGTGTTCTTCCATCACAGCCCGAAGGTCAACCACCAGCTGAGCGATATCGACTTCCGCAATAGCAACTGGAACGCCATGGAACCAATAGAGGTCCAAGATCAAGTAGATAAGATCCTCGAGCTCTTCATCTTTGCACTTCGGTTGAGAATCGGATCATCAAGCGTCATTTGACTGGGTCCCTGTGCCTGCGATATGGTTTTCTTGTGGTTTCCTGCCCGCTGCTTCGATTTCTTGTCCTTAGCGTGAAGGCTACGCTGAAAGATCTTATCGAATTGCGCCCGGAGATCCGAAATCATCTCTGGAGTTGCATCCGACCGTGGACTTAGGATTGTCTGATATACATAGTCAACACATGTCAGACGAAAAGACAGAACCCACTAACCTTGAACGCTCCCAACCAGCAAAACTCGATATTTTCAAGCAGCTCGCGTAACCTCGTATCCAGACTCTCACCATGTAGCCTCCACCAATTCGCGCGAGCCTCTTTGTCATCCGATTTGATGTTGACGGCTGTCTTGGTACCCTCGTCACTCAACCTTACGATCTCGCGCAACTGACCAATAGCATCGTTGAACTCCAAGTGGTCTTCCACATCGTCATCTCCGTTATCTCTCCTTCCTTTCAGAGGCACGCAGAAAACAAGTGGTTGGCTTCCTTCAACTCCGCCTTCTCGTCGTGAGATGAACAACGTGCTCTTGTCATCTGTGATATTGATGTTGATCACGATCCAGTTCTCCGGAAGGTCCCCCGTCTCTGAGGTCGAAAGTGATTGAACGTCAAGGCGTCGTGAGCGATATTTTTCTCGGATAGAGGTCCAGTAAGCTTGAATCAAAGTACCTTCTCGCAAAGCACTGTCTTCTGCATCATCATCGGACTCTAGATCAACGTTGAATCTTCCAGGGTGTTCTATCTTTGGCCGAGGACGAGGTGTCCCATCAGAGGTGATAAGTGGCCACTGGAGGTCGTCGGACTTCTGAAGTGCGGAAAATTTGTGTTTCAATGGATTCCAACATCTCTCTCCGCAGAGTGATTGCAGTCGAAACATCTGTGAAACCATCAGTATCCCCAATCACGCGTGTCAGAAGCAATCTCACCAAGTAAAGTCGCAGTGACCGCTGAGCCACCATTTCCTGGTCTACCAAGGGAGGTTTGGAAGGCTTTGATCAGTGCGAGAGAGATCGCAGCATCTCGAAGCTTGAGGACGCTACCATTCCGAAGTCAATGACAGGTTTGCTTGGAATAGCTTCTCCGCCTCTTCCAGAGCGTTCAGAACATCCTGAGTAGGTAATGCGAACGCAGCCTTGTGCGTAGTCGACATTCCCATGGGAATAGCGATTGCTACGATGTACTGGTAAGGTTCTGCAACGAACGTGAGAATGAATAACTCACTAGACTCGGTGAGGGAGCTAAGGAACATATCCATTGTAGAGAGTTAGTTTGCCCATGAGAGAGTTCTCATTCGCCTTCGAAATCGATTGGGTCAGATGTGTGCATTGAAAAGAAATCGAGGTTTCTTACCTTCATTCGGGATGAAGATGGCAGGGATAAAAACTTCTCAAGCAAGCCATTGAGGTCTTCATCTGGCTGATTGCGTCGTGACCAGACTGCTTTTGTCAGAGAAAGGTAGCGAAAAATGACCATGAACGTACTTTGCTGGTGAAGAACGGCTAACAGAGTGTCAGGGAGAAGCTTCGTCCCCAAACACCAAAGTCTCAAATTGCTGGAACGCGCCATCAAGCCCCTCCAACATTTTCAATGTCGAAAGATAAAGTTCTTGCGCATTCTCATGCTGAGCGCTTCGCTCATTACGCTCTGCTCGGAGTCGATGAACGATAATAGTGTCAACGCCTGGCAGGTGAGAGAGTAACGCAGCAGCTTTTACCAGTGTTGCATTTGCCTCCTGCAGTTGACCAAGATGAAGCTGAACCTCTGCCTTCCGAGACAACGCACGACTGTGGGAACGTTCAGTGCTTCAGCGAGATCCTGACCCTGCTGTGCAAAGTGCTCAGCTTCCTGGGGAGATCCACGCGTCAAGTACATTTGCGACAACGCGAACAGAGTGGAAAAAAGTCCGTGAGCTGTCCGCCACTCCAAATCATGTCTGAAAGATCGCGGAGGGTATGTCTTGTTCGGCGTAGGCTGTGATTGTGATGGAGTGGATGTTTGTTCAGCCGTAAGGGCTTCTTTCTTACTGTAGTTCGTCAGCAGGCTCGAGATCTTCATGCACTGAGGTGGTAGTACTAGTACTAGTCTGAGTTGAGTTCGCGGCTCAACCGGCCCGCAAGGCACGTGAAAGGCGTGACGCGTCACAATATCTTCTTCATATCCTCAGCCTTTCATCGTCGGAAGAAATTTTTATTATATTCACAATCTAAGCCGTAGTAAGATGCTGATGTTATTGAAGAAGAAATTTTGAATTTCTTCTTCATTTCCTCGCTGATATTATCCCTGAATAATTTATTATTTTATCTCTGATTTATTCTCAATATCTTCTGTGAATAAATAGGCCAATGCCCCCAGTGTTAGTCGTTATCCTCAATTTCTTGTGGTTGACCTTATGTATCCACAGAACCAAACACCGAGTTCGAACAGTTGGACGCCATGTTTCGTAAACTTGGGAGGTCGTTCCTAAAGCAATTCCGGTCAGGTAGAGCCCAAGAACATAAGATTTGAGTAAGAACTTGCTTTTAAGCCTCAATTTCTGGTGATGGACCTTGGTTATCCACAGAACCACAGAACCAAACGCTGAGTTCGAACGGTTGGACGCCATGTTTCGTAAACTCCGGAGGTCGTTTCTGAAGTAATTACCGTTAAGTACAGCCCGGGAACGTTAAAATTGAGAAAGAACCTACTTGTTAGTCTTAATTTCTGGTAATGGACTTTATCCCCCCCACAAAACCAGCCGCAGAATTTGAACAACTGGGCGCCATGTTTCGTAAAGTTGGGAGGTCGTTCTTGAGATAATTTCGGTCAAGTAGAGCCTAAGGACGTAAAAATTGAGCAGGAACTTACATGTCAACCCTAATATCTGGTAATGGACCTTATTCCCTCACAAAACCGAACGCCGAATTTGAGCGGTTGCGCGCCAAGTTTTGTGAACTCGGGTGGCAGTTCCTGAAGTGATTCTCGTCAAATAGAGCCTAAGAACGTAAAAAACGAGCGGGAACTTACATGTCAACCTTAATATCTGTTTTTGGGTCTTATTGCCCCCACAAAACCGAACGCCGAATTTGAGCGGTTGCGCGCCATGTTTCGTAAACTTGGGTGGTCGTTCCTGGAGTAATTCTCGTCAGATAGAGCCTAAGAACGTAAAATACGAGTGGGAACTTACATGTCAACCTTGATTTCTGTTTATGGGCCTTATTCCCCCCCCACAAAATCGAGCACTGTATTCGAACGCTTAGGCGTCATGTTTCGTAAGCTCGGGTGGTCGTTCCTGGAGTAATTCTCGTTAGATAGAGCCCAAGAACGTAAAAACCGATCAAGAACTTACCTGTTGGTCTCATTTTCTGGTAAAAGACTTGATTTCTCTGCAAAACCGAACGCCGACTTTGAACGGTTGGGCGCGATGTTTCGCAAACTCGGAAGGTTGTTCCTGAAGTAATTCCCGTTAAATAGAGCCCAAGAACATAAAATACGAGTAAGAACTCACTTGTTGAGCTCAATTTCTGCTCATAGACTCGATTTTCCTGCAGAACTGAAATTTGAACGGATGGGCGGTCCATTTCGTAAACTTGGGAGGCGCTTCTTGTAATAGTCAGCGTCAAATCAAGCCCAAGAACATGAAATTCGAGCCAGAACTTACCGAGTAAATCCATTTTTGGTATGGTCTTCTGGAGGGAGGACTTGCCAAACCTTGTTGATGCCGGAGATAGTTGGTGGACGTGGAGATAAGATGACGGGGCACGTTCTGCCTCCTTAGATACCACAGCCTAAGATGAGAAGAGGGATGGGGTCATCAGTCAAGGGATCGGGGCAAGTGGCCGAGGCAAGAACTTGTTTGGAACTTGTAAGCTGAGCCTCACCCTTTCTTGGCGGGATCTGGTCACAGATCGGTCACACTGATGGGACTGTCTTTTTCGTCGGTCACAGCCTTACTTCGTGCCTTCAATGACGCACATTCGTTTCCCGATCGCATTGATGGGAAACGAATGTGCGTCATTCCAAGGCACGAGAATATATCAACGTGGTCGAGGCCCTGAAGTCAACAACGTCGTCAACGCCATCAAGTCAACGGCGTCAACGTCCTCAGTCAACGGCGTCAACGTCCTCAGTCAACAGCGTCAACGTCCTCAGTCAACGGCGTCAATTGTCCTCAACGCTTTCAAGTCAACGCGTCGTCAACGTCCTCAACGCAGTCGACGTCGTCAATGCAACGTCATCAACACCATCAATGCAACGTCGTCAACGCCGTCAATGCAACATCGTCGACGTCGTCAATGCAACGTTGTCAACCAACAGTCAACGTCGTCGATGTCACCATCTACCTCGTCTCTCACCACGGGCTTGGCAAGCCTTACCCCTGGGAGGTCTAATGCGATGCACACACAAACGCGCCCAGCAGCGAGCAGTTTCTGCCACGTAAGTAGCACGATATCTTTTACCCAAGTCTTCGGCTAACAAAATGTCATAGATTTTGTCCAACTACTCAATGACGAACAAGGCAAAAGTAACGCGTACAAAGGTTGAGTGTCAGATTGGCACTTTCATGCAGGAGTAAGTATCATATTCTCTTTTTGCACAACTTCTCAGGTAAAACTAACCCTTTCAAAGTACTCAGCACGCAAAGTGGAACGCATACGCTGGTTCTGCGGATGAAAATACGTCGTCTCAACGCTGGAAATGAGTAACGGCGACGTTTCGAAGTTTACGAGTCCTCTGAGTTTACGAAGAGACTCGTTTATTACCTGGGATCTCGAGACTTTTTTCAGCGCAGTAACGCTGAAATTTGACTTTCTCCCACGAAAATGATTTCTTCCCACAGTTGAACGCCTCATCCTCCTCATTGTATTTTCTAGTCAAATCTACCAAATCATTGCTTAACACTTGCTTTTAGCACCCTAAGCATATGAATAGTGATGCCTCTGCTCTCTCTTTACTCAAATTATTTGCTAGCCCTGTTCTTGCAAGCTTCCTCAACATTTCCACAGTATTATCAACCCCATTCAATTATATTTCTTTGTATTCAATGTATAACAATCAACCAAGGCCTCAACCTTTTCATAAACAGTTTTCTTGATCATATTCAGGGAGTTTGGGAGTATCCGAACAAGCCCACATGCATGCCAAACAGATGAGATTAAGGTGCTGAG